AGAGAAACCGTCCGACGAGAAAGCGGGACAAGCAGGGGGAGGTTACAGGGACGGTAAAAACCGGGGGAAAAAGAAGAGGAGAAATTTTATTTCTGTGACGTGGCCCCCGCTTCTTCTCTATTTTCTTTTCTTTTCAGTTTCCACCTGGACGGGAATTTCAACGAGCGCTAAACAAACCGTGCACCGTTCATTTGTCGCGTAAATTCGCCGACGAGTCGGCTTCTCTTCCTCTTCCTTTCCGCGAGTCTCTCTCTCTCTCTCTCTCTCGCTCGCTCTCTGTCTGCTTGCGTTTCGTTCCCGCGGCTTTGAAAATCGACCTCGCGACGATTGCGCTTTCGAGCGGACTGTTCTTTAACTTCGTGAAATTTCTTCGACTTTTTGCACGGTAGTACAAGTCGCGCGGATGTGCTTTGAACGTTAACGATATGAAGGAAACCGTTACGATGGTTTTGTTGTTTACCGATCGAGCTGACTGTAGAATTACCGAACGGTTTCGTGTTTTCTTGTGGAATTGGTAGTGATACGTTTGTTCTGATTGCAATTTCCTTGTTATTAGATGCTATTTAGATCGTCGAATCTTTTTAATAATTTTAATGAGTTTGCGGTGAAGGGGAGAAATAGGTTGTTCGATTGTTTCGGTAGTTCTACCGTCAACGCCGATTGAATTCGAAGATCGACTCACCGAACCATGCCTGTGCGTCACCCTGCACCTCGATCGCCAATCCGAAATCCGCTAGTTTCACAGCCGCGCCTTTCGCCTTGCTCGCGAGCAGCAAATTCTCGGGCTGCAACAGAAAACGGGCTCGTCGACGATTAACCGTGTTGCTGGGGAAACGTCAGGCAACGCGTCAGTCGCAACATCAAAGAAGAAATGCTCGAACAATGGACTTTACAAACGCTGAAGCTTGGAAATTGGGAAATGTATTATAAATTGTAGATATGCGACCTACAACGTCCTGCCTTACGTTTAAAAGTATTACAATGTACAATAAATACATAATTACATAAATATAATCAGATATATAATTTCTATAACAAACATTACACAAGTGAAGTCCTTAACACTAGAACTACGTAACAGTCGAAATGACAAAGTACAAAGTTTCTATATTTGGAGGATCTAATAATCTGAAGGTAGTTTTCTTAAAATTCATTAAAATATTTAATATTAGAACTGGTGCAATATTGGAGTCTACAGAGTTCAAAGGGTTAATACCTTAAAAGCATTGAATATTTGAAATGATCTTGGAAATAGTTTCACTTGAGTACTATGATTATCCAAAGAAACTGAGAATAATCTATTACAATTTTTATAGAGATTACATATCAATCGTATTAAATGCTCGGTAGTTCTAGTGTTAAATTCACAAATTCACTGCTACCTATAACCCAAAATAAACGCCATCGGTGAACGTTTCGCTCGAGAAGGAGGTAAATAAATATTGCCTGGATATCTCTGAAGTGGAAACAAATTCCCAGCTGCCGGATTTCCGGCGGAAGCGACGCTACTTTCGGAGCAGCCTGTACACGCGCGATGCTTGACACACATTGTGGGTCTAACGCCGCGCGACTTTTTCAGTTTTTCATGAAACGCCACTTTTCCGACGGTCGCCCTCCTTTCCCCCCGTTTCTTTTCTTTCGCCCGTGTCCCCCGCCGTCGTCTTTCCACGGATTAATTTTCCCCTCGCTTGACTCCCGTCCCCTCGTTTTCTTGACGACGCGGATCCTTGCCGTCGCGGGAACGCACTCGACTCTCGGTCGCCGCGCGCGGAATACCTCGGCCGGTCGTTAAACGAGAACTTGGTTAACGATACTATCGGGTGGCTGATTGTACAGCGTGCTCCAGGAAAGTCGAGCAGCGTGTTTGACTATTGCACGTCTCGCTGGCGTTCAATCTGACGTATTAACCCTTTGACGAACGTCGCTTCGAGATGAAAAGTTTGGAAGAGGAAATGGGAAAGAAATGATTCAATTAGCCAAGCAGCGAGATATCGGTAGAGATGTGATAGTTAGTTCAGTTATAGAAACTATAATAGTTTCGATTTTTCTATTATTTAAGCGATCGATGTATAACGTAGCTTCATCTGCTGAAGCTTTTATATATTTCAAAGAATCTTCGTTCGCGAAGGATTAACCCTTTGCGGACGAATGTCGACATTTCGGCGAAATGAAATGTTCAGGTTTAGAAGAGTAAAGGAAAGAAATGATTTAATTACCCAAGCAGCGAGATATCAGTAGAGATGTGATAGTTAGTTGAGTTATAGATAACTATTATAGTTTCGACGTTTCTATTATTTAAGCGATCAATGTATAACTTAGCTTCATCTGCTGAATATTTCAAAGAATCTTCGATCGCGAAGGATTAATACAACTATTTGCATCTTCTAAATGTGGTGGCTTACTTTATCGATCAGAGAGGCTCAACTGAGTCTTTCAAGCTCTCGAATTAATCTGCCCCGATACAGCGGAACGTGTAACAGTAATTTATCAGCGAATTATCACGACTAACGATGCAAATTGGTTAACTCATATTCTTATCGAAAGCATCGAGTACCAAAGAAAATACAGTTTAGATAACGATTTCTTCACAACCCATAGAAAATCTATCATTCCATGCCTCGACGAGCGATCGTCGTTTCGTTTCCCACTCTCAACAGACATTTCGCGGAATTGTACGAACGTCTTATCGAGTATTTTCGTTTCGCTACGTACTTTCAGGTCCCTGTGCACAACTCCGTTATGGTGGCAGTGGTGTACGCTCTCCAGGATTTGTTGGATACAGTGCGAGGCGTCCGCTTCGCTGTAGAACTCCCGCGCGACGATATCCTCGAACAGTTCTCCGCCGGTCACTCTGTAAAATCAAACCGAAACGAACGTTTTTCGTCGTTCGCGAGAGAAAAGACGATTCTCCGATGGGGGGAGTCAATCGAGAATGCCGAACGGTTTCGGGGAACGTCCGCCGGAAGTGTTCGGAACGATGTTTCAGTGGAACGAGACGCGAATAGTCAGACGTCGGGATACAGTCGGAGGGTAATGCCGGCAAGGGATGCGCCCAGCGATCGATATCCGAGGATTTTGACCCTTTCTTCGCGAACTTTCTTCCGTGGCACGCTTCGCGGTCGATGGAACGCGTGCGAACGGAATTTTGTAGATATAATCCGCATGAGTTAGGGGAAAAGAGAAAAATTTTGAAGCTGATTCTATAAGCGAATGTCTATTTTATTTCGGATATCGAATCGTTAACCCTTTGCACTCGGAAGTATTTCGTTAGCAATAAACACTTTCTAACTAGATAAAGATGATGGTTTTTTTAAGTGAATTGAAAGAGAAATCACAGGTAAATTATACACAGTTTAATATTTAATATTAAATTTTCTAATTTTGCTGCGTAAATCAAATGGCGACTGAGTCACCTTTCGAGTGCAAAGGGTTAATTCTATGACGCTTAACCTTTTGAACATGGAACTACTGTTTTAACCCTTAGCAGTCCTATGTCAGACTCGACTCTATTTTATTGCAACCTCTACCTTTAACAATTTTTTCTATATTTATTTGTAGTACAATTGTATTTAAAGGTAACATTTCAGTGACTCCCAAATATTCTTGAATAAATAAATACAGCGTCATATTGAGCTGTAATTGAATCAACTAACGTGAACCTTAAAGTGAGAAACCAAGAGCACTTCGGACCGCAAAGGGTTGAAGCTATTATCGTTAAAATAATCGAAATTTGTATCGAGATCATAAGGGAATAATGAGATAAAAGTTAGATCGTTATATTTCATAAATCTCGAGGCAACAGAGTCACGGATTTTGCAAATTTTCATAGAGAGATCGTTAGTACGAATTATACCGACGCGTTTAGGTTGGAAAAAGATAATTACAGGGGACGAATATCGCGTTAGCAACTAGAAGATAACGCGTTTTAGTAAGTCAGCGTCACCGAGGGCTCCGATTATTGGCGGTAACGCGAATTTTAGCCGGTCACGGGAGTAGAATCCAATCGGAACCAGCCAACTCCGACAGAAATTAGATTAAACTTGCCCGACCGCTACTGAGTCCGCGGATGATTCGTATCGGTGACGGTGGCGGGCGGCCGGGGCCGTGGAAACTCGCGAACGTTCGCGAGACTCGATTAGAAACTTTCGATCCGATCGATGATTAATGTTACGCGCGCTGTGTGTCTACTTACAGGTCAAAGACGAGGTAATGGCAGTTCTCCTCCTGTATGCTGTCGTGTAATCTCACTGGAACAGACAAGGACACGGGAACGGTTAGTCAATGGCAATAAAAATCATCCTGAGAATCGTAATGATCGGTAATTATTAGACTTCCGATTTTTCTGCGTTCATGAAATTAATCAACTATATTTTCTATATTCGTTAAAACAAATGAGTTACAATTTCCTACACAGTCACTCTACATTAATGATACTATTGCAAAGTTCCAATAGCGTTGTCGTTGGATCATTCAAGATTCCCCAGAAGTATATTCTTTTTATTAATTATCTTAATCAACTATGTTTTCCATTGTATACTCATTAACAATCGAGTTCATACAATTCCCCACACTGTCGAATCCTACACTAACAATACACTCGCAAAGTTCTAACAGCGTTTCGTCTGGTCAATCAAGATTCTTTTTACTAATCTAATTCTAATCACCTATATTTCCTCTATCCATTAAAACAAACGAGTTCTGACAATTCCCCACACAGCGACAGCCTAGATACATGAAATAATCAAAGTGAATCATGGTTCGCGCAGCATCTCGTTCACCGCAGCATCTACAATTCGAGTTGCGTATTCCCCGGATGATCTAACGGGTGTCTCTAACGACCGACGCCGCGCAGGAAGTTGGCCGCGCGAAAAACTCTGCTCCCGGGACGATGAAGACGGGAATTCCTGGGCTGCGGCGCGTAAGGGTGGAAAACATCGCGGCCGAAGACGCGGCCGGAGAGTTTTCGCGGTATCCTGCAAACGACCTTCACGGTCGTTGAACAAATTGCGCAGCGGGACGGCACCGACGCGGCGCATACGAACGACGCCATTAGGGACACGGATTTTTGTACGAATGCAAGGGAGAGCGGACCAATTACCCACGCGAACGGCTCAGCCGTTTTTTCTCTCTTATTTCCTTTTTTAATTAAGCGACACGCGTGACGCACGCGCGCGCACGGTCGGCCGCTCGAGCCGAGACGGGCACCGCTCGGAATGCATCGTTTCTCCGTTTGGACTCGATAAACTTGATTGAACATACTTTTCTTCGGTTTGTCGGCTAATTTAGGGATTCAAGTATCTTGCGGTGCGTTTTGAACACCCTTCTAGTGATTTGTCGCGCGAATGTTCGAGATATTTGTCGATTTTCCATGAACTTTTTGGGTATTTCCGTGTGAAGTTAAATATCGACGTATTTAACGTATTGTTTATTTTGTTAATTGTTGGAGTAACGATTCTGTTGTGTTACATTCAAATGATACCTTGCGGTTTGTCAAAAATTGATGAAAAAAAGTATGCTCTAAATGTAAATTTTCTAGAGGATTGTTTTCTAGGAAATGAATGCATCGCAATGGTTTGTCCGTTACATTTCTATGTGCATGGTTCGTTACGAAAGAACGATTTCCCGTTTTCGAAATTTCGTTAGCAGGGACTGGGAAAATCGCTGCGGTGAAAGAACAATCGGCCGGGAATCGGCGACGGTTCCCTCGATCGACGCGATCCGTTCATTAAGGTCAACGAAGAGGCATCCAGCGCGATACAATTCAACGATCCCAGGCGGATCGGGCTTAATTAATGTCAAGTGAGGCCGCGGGCCGAATCTACGCGAAAATCGACGTCGACCGAGCGTCGTTGTTGACGCGTTCCGCTCCTCTGTTCGACGCTATTCTCTCCGCTCCGTGTTTCACGGAACGCGAAACGCTTCCTGAACCTCCGAACGCTGCTGTCGAATGTGCAGGTAGTCCGCGAGACCGTGGTACGAATATTCTAATACCAAAGGATTCAACGGAAACGAACAAAATTCTGAACAGAACTTAGCAGAATGATCGTTAAAAACTTTCTATTCGCGATACTCTTCTCTCTAACATTTTAACATCAATATTCTCAGTGTTAAATACATCCTACATATTAACACATTAAGTATATCAGTCACCGATGACGCTTCTAAATGACTAGAAAACAGTACACGCAGAATAACCAATGTTTAATAACGTAACTAAATTGCTAATACTATACTGCAATAATTGTGTGGGAATGGATGTATTTGAGTGTGTGAATAGATATATCGATGAGTGATGAATGTGTGCAATAGATGAATGACGCGACTGTGTGTGAGCGCGTTTTGCATGAATGTTCAAAGCACTGGAATATTCTAGATTATATTGATTTTCTCTATATGTTAACCCTTTGCACTCCAAACATTTGTCACCAGAAATATTCAATTTATTTTTACGAGATACAGATGACATTTTATTCAACTAACGTTGAGTAAAGACAGTGAGCTTGAGAACCGCTGCTTCGAAGGATTACTCTATTGTTCTTTTCTTTCGGTGGAGGATTGTGTTAGGGGATGACGGGATTTTAAGAAAATTGAGAAATAGAAACTGTGAATTATGAATTATGTATTGGGGTTTAGGAATTGAACTTAATCCCTTCGAGTGCAAAGGGTTAACGTGTCAACGTAACAGTCGAACGTCGGAATGATCCAGAAAAGAGTCCAGCGCAATTCACTCCGAGACAATGAACGTTTACGATAATGGATATCTCTCGGAAGAATGTCCACCCCGGTAGATCGTGAACGCGCGCGACCGGTCGAGCGATAAATCGCGAATTGTCGCGAGATGCCCGAGACCGAGGGATACGCGGCTGCGAGCGTAATCGTGGAAACGCGTATAACTCCAGGGCCGCGCTGCGTCGAGGTGTGGCTTCCAGGATCGATACTTACGCCGGTTACTCTCGCTTCTCTCTCTCTGGAAGCCGGCACGGCGGGCCACGCTACTCCCACGATCATCGAATCTCGTCACACGCAGCGCCGCGGAAATAAAACTGTCGAACGGCTTATTTTTCGTGTACCGCCGCGAAAAATATTGAATCGAGCTTCTTCTCTCCGCGGAATCATTCCGTCGGGACGATCGTTCGCAACGCTGATAAAAAAAAAGCTTCATCTTTACTTTCATCTTACTTTCCACCCAGCACGCGATGATTTTCATGAAACACGAGACATGATTCTCAAAGGAAATTCGACGTGTTTTTTCTTAGCCAACATCCACTTCGAACGAGTGAAAAAGTCCGAAGTTGATGGTTGAAAGTACTGTAGGATCAATTTGTTAAAAATCCCACGTGTTGCCGTGGCGAGGAATAAAAAGAAAAGACACTGGGTAACAATAACAGAACTTTATTTTATATGACTCGCTAAACACAAATTCGACGTGTTTTTTCTTAGCCAACATCCACTTCGAACGAGTGAAAAAGTCCAAAGTTGACGGTTGAAAGTATCATATCTCCGAAAAGGTAGAAATTAGATAGATCGAGAATGGACAACTTAGATTTCTTTCCCACGTCCCCTTTCCGGAGATATAATACTTCCAACTCCGAACTTTAAGCTGTGTTCCCAAACTGGATATTGGCTGAGAGAAGATACGTGTCAAATATCTCCCCGAGAGCTGCGTCTCGGTTTCATCAAAAGCGTGTGCTGGCTGGAAAGTTTCCCTTGGAAGCTTCGGCGTCTTTTTTATAAATTTCCGGAGTCGACCGGTCGATTGTCTCCTTGTTACCCGCGTCTCGCAGACACATCTCCCTCCGCGGAGCACAAAGCGTTCCAGGGAGGGAGCGCCCAATCAAATATTTCAATATCGTGGTCGCGGCGGTGCCATCGCCATATTGCAATGTCGGGGGATTGTCTATAAAAGCAGCTATACGATCGTCGGAGGAATTTCTCGAGAACACCGGAGCTATCCGCGCGAACGAGGCGGATCGTATATCGAGGGAGAGGGAGGTCCTCGAGGTTTCTTCATCCTTTTCAAATGATCCCTGAAACCGATCGAGGGGGAGAAGACTCGCCCGCCGAGTCTTTGACGCCGCTCGCCGATCCAATAAGGATCGAGAGGCGGCTCGAGCTGAGATCGCAGGCCGACGCGTTATCGCGGGGATTTTTTATCGGCTGCGATTCCGATCGAGTAATTCTCCCGGCGTCACGTGCTCGACCCGCTCGCGGATACGCTCACGGTGTCGGGCGACAAAACGCTTCCACCCTAAAAAGCCGATACCCGAATCACGCGATACGAGTGGATCACGCGACGATACGGGGGCGCCAAGGTTTCCCGATGGATTTATAGGGGTCGCAGCGATGTTGCGGGTTTATTGCTGCTTTAGTGGCAACGTTGTTGACAGTGTAATGGATAGAAAGTTGGAGATGGGATTCAATGGACGACTTTGCAGTCGGATCGAGTTGAAAGTGAAACTGATTTTGTCTACGTTGCCTAACAACGTGGATATAGATTTTCCGTGGCACTGCAAAACGGTTGTAAAATAGTAAGTGTGAGACGGGAGGTTTCTTAAATTTGGAAATACCCGAACTGCCTTCTGCAGATGGTTTTTGATGGAGCTTCTGCTAAAGACGCAGTCAAAATTCGGCTTCCTAGCAGAACAGAACAGTCGAGTAAACGTGAACTATCCTAAAAGACTTAAAAAACTTAACTTAAATTTAAAAAATTTTAAAAACTTAAGCTTAAAAAATTTAAGGAACTCAATCGTTAAAGTGAATTTCAAATGAATTGGTATAATCATTGCGAAATCTTCGAAAGATACTAAACTATCGCTCGATCGTACGCTAAAAATACAAATTTAACCTACGCGTGAACTCTCTGATCACGAGAGAACACCTCGACTAATATTTCTCCCGTCGATTTACGAAGAAGCAAGTAGATACCACTAATAAACAAATACAGCTAACGCACAGCGACTCGAAACGGAAGACCTTGTGCTCGATGCAGCTGAAACACAAAGATCACCGGCGAGAGAAGCGAGAGGAGACTCAAAGGGAACTCCAAGAAAAGACAAAGCCTCGGAGAAGACGCTAGAGAGGGATCGGGCATCGGCGGCAGCGAGGGAACAGTCGACGAGGAATCGATAGGTATCACTTGTTGACTGGGACAGACGTAAGCCGTTCGGCCGGCATGACGGAACCGCGGACAGGAAGAGGACACGGTAATTCATCGGTCACGTCCAGTCGATGGATAGAGCTGTACGAT